ATATAAAAATTTACACCATGATTATAGAGCTTCTAATCTAATTCTAAAGCCAAGTAGAGTAGCAAAAAATAATATATATTTTATATATAATAGTGAACCCCATAAGGCCCATGAGGACGATTCAGAGTATTCTTTTTTACATCTTAAGTCTGCTCGCCTCCCCTGCTGCTGCTTGTCAAGGCTTGGTGGGTGCTAAAATATCTTTAGAAAATGTTTCTTTTACTATGTAAACTTCTTTGCAAACAATACTATTGTTTGCAAAGAAGTTTACATAGTAAAATAAATATTTTTTAAAGATATCTTAGCATTCACCAGGCTGATTTTAACACTTTAACCATCATTAGATGCATTTTGACAAGCTTTACAAAAGTTTTTTAAGTTAGAAAGATGATTAACTTAGTATTAAAAAAGTTTTAAATGTGCATGCCACATTTGGAAACCCCAATTTTTATAAGTAATTTGAGTATAATCACTCTCTGGTTGACTAGTAGATCACCATTTACTGTAAATTAGTAGCTATTAAAAAAATAAAATAAATAAATTATACTATAATACTGTATTATATATTATTTATTTTAGTTTTAATTATTATTATTGCAAATTAGGTTTAATTTTTATTGTTGCAAATTAGGTTTAATTTTTATTGTTGCAAATTAGTTTAAATTTTTATTAAAATTAAATTATATACAATATATTAATTTGTAATTTTTAAAAAATTGGGTAAAATTTTATTATACTATGTAGTTCAATATATATCAACTTTTAGTAAAAGTTCAAACTACAGTAGCAAATAATAAATAATTTTCATACGTATGATTTTAAAATAATAATTAAAGTTATACTACTTATGTTTTTTATTGGATTAAAGTAGAAAATCCTACTAACAATTTTGATTCAAAAAATTAACGTTCCAATATAAATATATAAATGTATAAATTAATAAATTATTATTTCTAAGCAACAAAACTTTAAGTAAAAATATTATACAGAAGTAAAAACAAAATCTTTTTTTTTTTTTTTACATGTAATATTTCAACAATCGCAAAATGCTATAATAAATTATTTGAATTTAAAAAAAAAAAAAAAAAAAAAAGATTATAGCGAAGGTTGCCAATAGATACACCTTTCTAAATAAAATAGTTAAATGAAACAAATTGAATAATTTTATAAGCATAATAAATATAATTATTGAATATAAATGCGTATAGCCGATTTTTTTTCCTGACGACAGATGACACACCTATCGACAGCCTCTACACAAGTGCCGCATAGAGCCATATGATAACAAGGAAAAATTGCATGAGTGATTGACTCAGAGAAACATACTTTACACTTATGAGTTGCAGAAATACGTTCTTCACGTTCTTTCTCCCATGATGATTTCAGATTATCACGCTCCTTTGAAACATCAGTAATGTGACATTGAAGTTCCATGACTTTTTTTTGACAAGATTGCTTCATTCCAGATTCTGATTCGCATTTTGAACGATAATGTTCAAGACGAGAGGCGAAATAATTCGCCTTTGATTCAAGAAAAGTTTTATCGGCTTCAAGCTTTGTAATCTTATCCAAAAGATCTTTGTTACTTGCCTCTAGTTGCGAAACATAATCAGAAAGTTCATCATTATTTTTTAATAAACTTTGATGTGAAGAAACTGAATGAGAATCAGGAGGATCGTCGCGAATTGGAGAATGGAGACGGGATTTACAGCCATTAACATTTGCATCTTGCGAGGAATCTTTTTCATTTCCTGAATGCCGAATTGGAGAATGGAGACGGGATTTACAGCCATTAACATTTGCATCTTGTGAAGAATCTTTTTTATTTCCTGAATAATTATCTAAATCTTTTTCATTTCCTGAATGATTATCGAAATCTTTTACATTTCCTGAATTATTATCGAAATCTTTTACATTTCCTGAATCTTTTACATTTGAATGATTATCGAAATCTTTTATATTTCTTGAATGATTATCGAAATTTTTTACATTTCCTGAATGATTATCGAAATCTTTTACATTTCCTGAATGATTTCTTGAATGATTATCGAAATCTCTTCCATTTACAGAAAATTTATCTAAAACTTTTCCATTTCCCGAATAATTATCTAAAACTTTTCCATTTCCTGAATGATTATCTAAATCTCTACCATTTACTGAATGATTAATATTTTTATTACTAATATAACTTTGACGATTTTTAGCATTAAAATTAATTATAGAACCTCTTGGATCAATATAAAGTTGATCAGAAGAACCATTCTTTGAATCAATTGAAGAAGTAGATTTGATATTTGTAGATTTTTCAGCTTCAGGTTCAACAAGACCGACGGTAATTTGTTTTTTAAACATTTGATGAGTACAACCTTTTGGTTTTTCGAAAGCAACTTGATCTGCATAAACATGCCAAGTACATTTTGGTCTTGCACCATCGATAAGATAATTACGACATACAAACATAAGTCGCCTATCACGTGAAGAAAATCTCATTACCACAGGAACTCCGCAGAAACAAAGAGGAGGAGGAGGATGACCCAAGGAATAATTATTACGTTTTCTAAAGTAAGCACAAAAAGTGAAATTGAAAAAAGAACAAGTGGATAATTCTGAATGGAATGGATTGATTCGATCAGGATTATCAAAGAAAATATCCCAAGTGTCTTTATGAATATGAAATCCGCAAATTGCTGGCCTGCTTGATTTTACGGAATTTTTGGAAGGTTCATTATCCTATGTAGTTAAGAAACGGTGATCAAATATTATTTAAATAAAAATTTTCTTAAGTATTTATAGACGATATAAATGTTTCTACAAAGAGAATGATTTAAATACGTGTTTAATTAGCAAAATTTAACAGGTATTAAAGAATTGTTTATGGGGGGGACTTATAAGTGATAAAACTACAAATATATATATATTATATTATCAAGTCTAATAATAACTTGTAAAGTTCTAACTTTTACCTAGAAAATAAATTTTACCTTTTTATTTGAAGTAGAGTTATCATCATAGGCCTTCATCCAAAAGTTTTGATGCATGTTCGCGCATTCATAAATTAAACCAAATTCTTCAGAGTACGCAGGTGAAGCCGGTTTTTTACAGAAACAATATGGAGTGTCACGTATTCTGCTTAAACGTGGGGCCATTTTAGAAATTTTTATAAATTCTTATAGATTATAGATCAGTGTAGTTGTAATTCTTTTTCGACAGTATATAGAATATATATCCCGAGAATTTCGGTTTTTTGTTGTATACCCTAAAAATCCTTTTTTATATATACTAATCTAGAGATGATCTATCGGATAAAAACCGGGTAATTGTCCGGATTACAGTATTAGACTTAATACAGTAAATATATAGTGATAGGATAATATTAATAGTAACATTAACCAATAAGGGTGCCGAATTTAGTTATATGATTCTAAATATCACTGGCGTTACTTTAGATCTAAAGATAGCTGAATACTCTAACCAATACTATACTTTTGTTCAGAGACGATTATTTTTCTGTTGCAAATATCATCACTACGTATCCATTTATTTTTCTTTTTTTGTTATGATATAAGTAGTACATGTGTTTATATTGGTATAGCTTCATTTAACGCTAAAACCTAAATTTAACTTTAATAGAAGATACTATATATACGGCTTTACATCATTATTGCATGAACGAACAACGAATACAGGCAACTAAAAAGTTTCTAATTTTAAAATCTCATTTGAATAAAGTAACTTGAATAAAGGTTATAGTTTGGAGCCGAGTTTATTTTTAATATATTTTATTAAACTGGCTTTAATCGGTTTTAACATATGCGGGTTCTCGCCGAATTTTATGATGATTAACCTACAGAATTGACCCCTAGATAGAATATCGATTTATTCCCCGGTTCTTATCTGTCATTTATACTTTTATAACTATTTTTTCGCGCTTCTTGCTCGGATTCCAGATCCGCGTCTAATTTCTGGTTTTTGCCCATTTACGTGAACAATAACATATACATATCAGATATATACGATATATACTGATGTATATCAGATATATATTAAAATCGAAAGCGATGGAATTAGATCAGTAGATTGTCATTAAACCTAAATTAGATAATTAGATTCAGATCAGGGCTTAAACGACTATATTAATTTGCCGGACATTTACTGCGCCATTGCTATTGTTTAAAGTATTTTTTTTGATTCATCAAATTAGTTATTGTGCATCTTATTGTTTACTATACCAGTAAATTAATTTCTAATATACTGTAGATCAAGAATGACACTTTTGAATGTCCGGCATTTCAATATAGTCGTTTAAGCCCTGATTCAGATACCTATACGTACGTACTGGTACCTGCTAGTTATGATTGATTGGCCATCGAATTGTAAATTGGCCCACTTTAGGGTACGTTCCGCAGCTTAATTCATATGTGTGCAACATGTATGAAGATCAATTTAAAAAAAATTTTTTTTTTGAGATCTCTTTTTTCAAAGGCTTTTTGAAACGATGAAGTTTTCTAAAGGTTGATCAGACTTTTTTTTTAATTTATCTTTATATTCCTAAAATTGGTTGTATGGATGAATCTAATGATCAATAATTTTTGTAATATTATTTGGTATTATATTCTCAATTGTAGATGTTAGTTCTTCTCGGCGTAAAAGTAGAAAAGCGCATTTTTCCTCTGCATCCTCTGTTCGAAGAAAAGTTATGAGCGCCTCTCTGTCAAAGGAACTTAGAGAGAAGTATAATGTAAGGTTTACCCTTTTTTTGAATAAATTTTAGTCCTTTATTTATGATGATATTTTGAAATGGTTCCAATATAGACTAGATCAGTTCCAATTCGAAAAGATGATGAAGTTCGTATTGTGCGTGGTACTAATAAGGCTCCCGGAAAAGTGATTCAAGTTTATCGCAAAAAATGGATTATTCATGTTGAGCGTGTCACCAGGGAAAAAATAAATGGCACAACTGTACCTATCGGCATTCATCCATCAAATGTTGTTATTACCAAGTTAAAACTCGATAAGGATAGAAGAAAACTATTGAAACGAAAAGATAGATCTGCTTCTAATAAGGGTAAAGGTAAAGCAGCTGAAACAGACGAATAGTGGTCTTGGCCAATAACGAAAAAAATCGGATAAAACTAATTTTCGGCTTAGTTTTTTTTTTCAAAATTGGACTGAACGATTTCTTATAACAATAGTAATTTATAAGCTTTTGATCATTACAAAAAAAAAAAAAAAAAAGTAGATATTTTATATATATTGCAAGTAGCAAATAATATTTTGTTATAATAAATCGTCGATGAAACTTCAAAAAAAAAATTTTGTTTCCTGGCGTTGTTTCTGTCAGAATGAATCAGAATTCGTTAAGGCATCTGCTATAAATAATCAATGCTAATACTGCAGTATTGTAATAGTAGCTATTAATATGAAAAATTATGATCCTTTAATTGCATAGCTGAAAAATAATTATTTAACCACATTTAATAAACTTGTTTTTATGCCAATTTAGCTAAGTGCCCTGTAACGGTGGGATTGTAAGGTTTACAGATATTATTATATTCATAGAATATATTAACACGAAAGTCTCAGCAAATTGGATTGTTGATTTAAATGGCACTTATCGTTATACTTAAAGCATAACCTTGCGAATGGGAATTGCATAATTTAGGCCACTAATTTTTATCAGCTTGATAAACGTTGAAAGACCGTGATCATTACAGACGATGTCATTATTGGCTGATCGTTAATAACTGATAATTCTGATTGCAATCTAACGTTTAATTGCTCACGCGAAATTCCGAAATTCCGAAATTCGAACTTTAAAAAATGTCCATATAATAAATACTAAAAACGTAATAATTGTATTTATTTAAATAGATATTATTGTCAAGTAGTCTAATAAGTTGAATTTTACGGAATAACCCGAAGTTAGTAATTTGTTTTTCATTTCATTACGAAATATAATAATTCTAAAATTATTCATAACAGGCTCTCCGGATGAACCATACAGCATGGTTTTACAGTTCGCAAAAGATGGAAATTTACGCGAATATTTAGAAAAATTTTTTTCAAATCTTAAATGGACTGACAAATTACGAATGGCCGGTGAAATATCAGCCGGTCTTAAGTTCTTACATCAAAAAAGTACTATACATCGAGATCTCGTAAGTATAGTCTATTTAATTATGTCATTAGACCGTAGTGACGATAACAAATAATTTGGACGTCAAAACCAAATGGCCTGCATCATTATGTGGATTTCGTCATTTTTTCCGAAAATATGTGATGCACGATTTGGGACTCCCAAATCTTTGGTTCTTATCACTATATTAGACGAATTATAGAACAATATAAACTAATAAATTTATGTATTGTTTCAGCACTCAAAAAATATTTTAGTTAATGAAGGAAAAATGTTAATTGCAGATTTTGGATTATCAAAGGATGAAAATTCAAATTCAAATTCTTCAGCCAGTTTTTGTGGAATGCCAGCATACATTGATCCTAAGTGTTTCGAAGATAAATCATTTAAATGTGACAAAAAATCTGACATCTACAGTTTTGGAGTAATACTTTGGGAAATTTCAAGTGGACGATCACCATTCCAATCAATTCCTAAATGCTACCGTATTCTTCACATACTACAAAAAAACAGAGAAACACCTGTTGATGGCACACCAGAACCATATATTCAATTATATAAAAAATGTTGGGACCATAATCCGAAGCAACGTCCAACACTTGATGAAATTTCAAAAAAACTTGAAAACTTATTAGAAGAATTCATTACAAATAACAAGGTTATAGATAATTCACAAATAATACCTGTATTAAATTTTTTAGAACCATCAGGTAAATACAACTGAAGACTTAATGCGTGCAGGCACCATATTAGCAATCAATAAATTTCCATTCTTTTTAATAACATGAATATTTTTATTTAGATAATCAAAATGACCATAACGACAATATAAATCCAAAAGATGATAGCACAGGAGGTTCAAACAAAAGCTATGGCATTATTCTGGATAGTTCCTATAATACCTTAAATTCGAAAATAATAGAAACCATGGATGAATTTTTATTACGTACTTTTTGAACACAGGAATTGTTTTTGTACTACAATCTTTCTTAAGCGGATGGATCGGGCTTTTTATACAATTTTTCATCGATGTATCATATGGGCTGCCGTCAATAGAAATAAGGCAAATTGACATTTTAAAAAAAATTAATACCTTAACTTCCACAGCTCATATTTCGATGAATTTTGAAGCTATCCGGATAATTTAATATTCAAAAGAAAGCTTAGATCGTAAGCTTTCTTTTGAATATTAAATTATTAAAATAGCTTCAAAATTCATCGAGATAGGAGCTATGAAAGTTAAGGTATTAATTTTTTTTAAAATGTCAATTTGCCTTATTTCTATTGACGGCAGCCCATATGTAAGAAAAACTATACCTTTTGATTTCTTCTTTGAATCGAACACTCTCGTTCAGGGAAATATAAAATGTTTCCAAATTTATCAGCAACAACTTGAATCTCAATATGGCGTGGGTTATCTATATATCTCTCAATTAACAAACGGTTATCGCCGAAACTTGATAATGATTCCTGAGATGCAATTTTGAAACCATCAACAACTTCTTGATCATTCCTTATTGGCATAAGTTTTTGTTAATTATACATTTATTGTAAACAAGCAGGGTTATTGGAATTTATATTCACCACGCAATTCGCATACCCTTTCCACCTCCTCCCGCAGAAGCCTTCAACATTACGGGATAGCCGACCGATCGAGCTGAATAAAATACACTTGAGATTAGTCAACTAAACTCGACAAATATATCATTTATTTATATGAATTTACCGATTTCTAAAGCATGGTTACTATCCTTTACAACACCATCAAAACCAGGAATAGTGTTAACACCAGATTGCTTAGCTATGATCTTGCTTCGAATCTTATCACCCAAGTCTGCCATTGCTGATTCTCCTGGTCCTATAAACGCGACTCCTGCTTCGTTAAGTGCTTTCACGAAATGCGAGTTTTCCGATAAAAACCCATAACCTACAGGAAATTAATGTCATTAGTTGCTTGAATGAACATATAGTTAATTTAATTATAACAATACCCGGATGTACAGCTTGAGCTCCAGTAGATTTGATTGCTTGGAGGATATTCGGAATATTGAGGTAACTTTGGTTTGATGGTGCAGGCCCCTAAACAATATAAAAATCATAGAAAATTTTATATTTGTTGACGAATTCTTGGAATTGGCAATCGAGAATTGAAGATGGGATTGGGATGGGACTGATATAATTTATTATATATTCTGGATCTGGATGGGGTTAAACCCATAATTTAGTACATACTATGTTGACCGCTTCATCTGCCATTTCCACATGTAAACTTCGAGCATCCGCATCTGAATAGACTGCTACTGTTTTAATGCCCATCTTTTTAGCTGTACGAATTACACGAACAGCAATTTCTCCACGATTTGCAATCAATACTTTATCAAAAGTCTGTTGGATGAATTGTTTCTTTTATTAACCGGTATTTATGAGAACACATTTTAACCAAATATATGAAACGAAACTTTCCTTTCCATAATCTACCGATTGAGGGGGCCCTTGTATATTAGCATAATATGTTGTAAGCGAAGAATGAAAATAGCGAGCCGGAAGAACTATTGAAGGGCGGCAAAATGCAAAATTCTTCTGATTGATAATTACTGAATTAGCGGAGAACCGCGTCCCGACAACGCACGCCCGAGTAATTAAAATATTCATTGAATTTTTTTGGATAACTCTGATCTGGTCAATATAAATAGTTTCGAGATCAGCTTTCACGTGTCAATTTAAAATTAAAGTTATCCATATCTGATATGGGCTGATTTTTACCGATTTGTGTAGATCGTACCTAGGGTTGTAAAATTACGTAATTTTGCGTAAACTTACAGTAACATAGTTTTCATGTAATTTGTAATTCACAACTTAGTAAGTTCAGCTTTTGCATTAAAAATCTGTATGAGACTACAATCTATCTTGCTTAATACATGAATTGAACTTTCTGAGATTAAAATTTTCGGCGGTTGAGGAGTTACAAATTAAATAAATCAAATAATGCAATAATGCTGGTTGAACTTTTGTAAAGCTATGAAATTCGATTTACTGAAAATTACGTAAAATTACATGTATTGTAAGATTGTAAAATGTAATTTTCAACCCTAATCGTACCCCAAAAATTAGGTTAATTCTGGTCAATTTTGTAGATCATTTGGCTCATCTCCATAGGTAGGGATGGGCTATAAAACTATGTATTCTTACTTAATTTTATGCATTAAGTAATAATAAGTGATGCTTATGATGTTTCTATTTTTAGATTTTTATTAGCGAAAACAAAACATGGCTAAATCAGTTTTTTAAATCAATTTGTCGTATGATTCATCATACGTATACGTAATAACTTAATAATAAATTACTTTTCCCATCCCTACATAGGCATATGCACATATTAAATATGCGCATATGGGCTGATTTTTACCGATTTATGTATCAAATTTGCAGATCATTTGGCCTATGGAGATGAGTTTTTCAAAGGCCAAATGATCTACAAAATTGACCAGAATTAACCTAATTTTTGGGGTACGATCGGTAAAAATCAGCCCATATGATTACATCGGACGATAAAGCGTCAGATCGTGTGTAACATATCGATATAAATTTCGCGAACCTTTTTAAACCCAGTAAAGTTTGATAACATTTCACCTACTCACCTTTTAGATTTATCGAATTCGCAATGTACAGGGAAGCTTTCACACGTAACTATAAATGTATCTTATCTACATTTGCACGTGCATCGCATATCTATCCCGATGCGAAATCAGTTGGTAGAATTTCAGCGTTAACACCAATACGAATTCGAGAATATGCGTCTGGCAATACTAAAGAAGAGGTAAATTTATCTTACAAGCAATTTATATACTGCTAATAGCTCTTTAATACGATTATTATTTCGTAGGAAATCATGGCGCGAATAGAATCCATGCGTGCGAAAGCACATTTGGGAGGCGGCATTAATAGAATTATCACTCAGCATAAAAAGGTACTCTAAATCCAATTGCATAGTTACTGTTATCATTATAGTAATGAAAATTCGTTTATTATTTCTCAAGGGAAAGCTAACTGCTCGGGAACGCCTTGATTTACTCTTGGATCCAGGATCTTTTCACGAATATGATACTTTTGTAGAACATCAATGTACTGATTTTGGTATGGAAAAAAATAAGGTAAATCAAAATTATATATATTTAAATCACGTCCATCCACAATTCTTATATATTTAAACATTAGATCATTGGTGATGGTGTAGTTACTGGACATGGCACGATAAATGGCCGGAGAATTTTTGTTTTTTCTCAGGACTTTACTGCCTTTGGTGGTAGTTTATCAAAAATGCATGCTCAAAAGATTTGTAAAATAATGGATAAAGCTGTATTGGTCGGTGCGCCAGTTGTTGGCCTGAATGATTCTGGTGGTGCACGTATTCAAGAAGGTGTAGATTCTCTTGCTGGATATGCAGACATTTTTCAAAAGAATGTCTTATCATCCGGTGTTGTACCTCAGATATCGCTGATAATGGGTCCATGTGCTGGTAAGTCTCATTATTTATTGAAGTTTTCAAATATTGATAGTTCACTCAGATATAATCAAATTAAATTGTATTTTGTAGGTGGTGCCGTGTACTCTCCAGCTCTTACTGACTTTACCTTCATGGTACGTGACACATCATACTTATTTGTCACTGGTCCTGATGTAGTCAAGGCAGTTACAAATGAAGATGTAACACAAGAAGAGCTCGGTGGTGCAAAAGCGCATACTGTTAAGTCTGGTACATAATAATATTATTAGTTAGTTATTTTATTGTTGGAATAATTACTCTTTTTATTCATGTTTTTTAATTCTTTGTATTTGAAGGGGTTGCACACAATGCTTTTGAAAATGACATCGAGGCTTTACAACGGTAAAATTTAAACAATGCATATTACCTCTTTTCATCTTTTTATTAATACAAATATCCGGAACAGTATTCGGGACTTTATAGATTTCTTGCCACTTTCAAACTGTGAACAAGCACCCACCCGTTGCACTGATGATCCCGTAACCCGTGAAGATCCATCACTTAACCACATCATTCCCGTTGATTCCACGAAAGCTTATGATGTGCGAGATGTTATCACGCGTCTTGTGGATGATTCCAATTTCTTTGAAATTATGCCAGACTACGCTAAAAATATTGTCATAGGGTTCGCCCGGATGGGTGGTCAAACAGTTTCCATAGTTGGAAATCAGCCATTAGTATCATCGGGAGTTTTAGATATCAATTCTTCTGTGAAAGCTTCTAGATTTGTTCGATTCTGTGATGCTTTTAACATTCCAATCATCACACTAGTGGACGTACCTGGTTTTCTTCCTGGAACTGCTCAAGAACATAATGGCATTATTCGCCATGGTGCCAAATTACTTTATGCATATGCGGAGGTAAAACATTAATACCTAATATAAATATTACCGTATTCCTCCGACATGTGTACCCGGTGTCAGTGTTGTCAATGGACATTGTGTCCATGGACTGTCCATGTCTAATAATTTGCTTGGACATATGTCCATGTACAACACTGCCCGGTGTGATGCAATTTTTCACATAGTGAAAAATTACAAATCACATGAATTACACAATTGTTTACATATAAATAGTATTTTTAAAAATTGATCTACATTATTTATCACGCCGGGTACACATGTCGGAGGAATACGGTAATGATCACGTATTATGATTATAGCCTTAAATCTAATACTTATTTTTAGGCAACCGTCCCAAAAATTACAATTATTTTGCGAAAAGCGTATGGAGGGGCTTATGATGTTATGTCTAGCAAACACCTTCGTGGCGATGTAACGTTTCCTTATATTGTTTAAATATATACTGTATAAGAATTAAAATTTATACTATAATTATTGGTTTCTTTTTTTAGATAAATTATGCGTGGCCAACAGGTGAAATTGCTGTTATGGGTGCAAAGGTAAAATATTATATATTGCATTCATTACTATCTTGGTTGTAGCTTACCATTATAATTCATCTTGCGAATCAAGGGGGCTGTCGAAATTATATTTCGACACGTTGAAGGCCGAACACAAGCAGAAAAGGAATATATTGGTATTTATTTTAAATAACTGTGAACATTTATTTATATAAAATCTGTTACTTATATATAACGATTTACCTCTAGACAAGGTATTTACAACTATATGCTAAATAATTATTTCATGTAATATGATTTTTTTATTGATCTCTTCACATTTATTTGCATTTTTAGTTTGCTAATCCATTACCTGCAGCCCAACGAGGGTATATTTTGGACCTTTATTTTAACGTTTGCTCATTTATTTAATTTATTAGTTTATTTATTTCTATTTTCCTTTATCATTTAGTTTTCTTGATGATATCATATTACCTTCCACAACACGAAAAAGAGTTATCGAGGATTTGGCGGTTTTAAAACACAAAAAATTACCAATTATTTACAAAAAACATGACAATATGCCTCTATGAAAAAAAAAAAAAAGTTTCTATCGTTAGAAATTGGTTTCATATATACGAAGTCCTTCGTTTCTTTTGATCCGAAGAATATATTACTGAGCTTCCTAGTGGATGTCGAGTGTGTGATGATTAATACTTCATATGATTATTATACTAAAACGATTTAATATATTTGTAATTTTAATAATTTTTTTTTTTTTTTGACAAGGTGGTTTCTTCACTATTATTGATTTGATTTAGAGATGTTATCTTTTGGTTTCGCTCATCCTGGTCCAAGGATGAGTATTTGGAAAGACAAATTAATGCATTGAATAAATTTAATAATTTATTAATAAAGGTTATTTGTACTGTATATTCGTTCAATTTTGGGATATTTTTACAAATCTAAGCTAGCTAACACTGAATGATATTATAACAATGAGTAGTTATGATGTACCGAAATGACAAAAATACATTGTACTATAGGAAGTAGTATGGTGATTTGGAGGCTAAAGTAACACCAAGACCACTTAATCAATGACATTGAAAGTCTAGTTGAATGGTGACATAAGAATTCCACACATGAAATGCTCTTTTATCAATATTTTGACACAAACTACTTTGTTTTTTATATCACTTATAGTGTAGTGAGAAATAGATAAATGTTATCGTCTAACATCTGGAATAATATGTTATAGTAGCAAAACCTATTCTCACGATACAATTTGGCGAAATTTCATTGATCGAGCAAAAATAATAATAGAATTCTTTATAGTTATTACTGCAATAAACCTCAATTTAAATATAATGTTATCGTTAAAAAAATATATTATTTTATATATATTTCATGACAAAAATTTTACATTTAAAATATGTATTCCAAAAATAATTGGTTTAACAAATGATTCCCGATTGTTGACTATCGATGTCCTATTGACCTCTTTTTAGGCCAAAATTTAGCAACAATAGAGATGTCTATTGTTACATCCCTATTGAACGTAATTTTACTTGTAAAGCTCAAAATAATTCTATCATAAAAAATTGTAAATATATATTTAGATTACCAAATTATAGCTTCTGGCAAAATAAAATGCTAAACATATTGTTAAATACACTAATAATTCTACATAGTTTTATATAGAGATGGGCAAATCGCGGTTTTTTCAAAAATCCCGCGCGGGATAGGATTACCAGTTTACATTTTTTTAATTTTTGCATTTGAAAAAAAAAAAACCGTACAGTATTTATTATTAAAAAATCAATTTTTTTGTTCGAATTAGTTATTTCTTATAAGTCATTTATTATAAATAAATTAATTAGAAATTACCTAGTTAGTTAATGCAGGCCAGATATTATATTAATGCCGGCCGGATAATTTTATTTGGGATCATATTAAAAATCCCGCGCGTGCCCATCTCTAGTTTTATAACATTAAAAACCTAGTATATATTTCATTAAAAACACTTCTGATATACCGCATATACAGTAATAAAATATAGATATATCCCTCGTTATAATTTACTTAAATTACTTTTTATTGATGTATCATGATAAATTTGCAATTTTGTTTACATTAAAAATAATTAGCAATAAAAACGAAACAAAATGCAAGACTTACTTAATCCGGATAATAAACCATTTACCTTCCAAACAACCGTTGAAAGGATGGTCCAATTTCCGGGATCATATCTGATGTTTGAACAGAACGTCCCAGTTTTTCAAAAGCGACCAATGAACATTCTCTCATAAGTGTGCATCCCGCAAAACTAGCCAACATTGGAATATCTGTGGGTGATATGGAATTATCGTCCCTTTTGCAATCATGTTCAAGAATGAAAGACAAGTTCGTGTGTAAAAATAATCAATCGCATAACAAATGGGTAGTCAGAAATCCAAAATTTTTTTAAATAAAATTTTTAAACCTTCATACAAAGATAACTCAACAATAACTTAAAAAAATTTTTTAATTTGTAAAATTTCTTAAAAAAGGATAAACTCAACAATAACTAAATTAATTCTATAAACTTGTGAAATTCATTTAAAAATTTTTTTTCATTAAATTTGATTAAGATTTTTTTGAGTTATTTTTGTTTATAAGTTCAAAAAATTTCATTAAAAAAATTGACTCGCTCCTAACTAAAGAAATTTTAACTTACTTCTTTTTATATGCCACGCCCCATGATATGAATGTGGAAATAAGTCCTGTAAGAATATCACCTTGCCCACCACAACGCTTGAGACCACCCTTATTATCGACCAGAAAGACTATATTAAGCCAAATGAATTAAAAATAAATTAATACACTTCATTCTTTTAATCAAATTTAATCACTTTATTACTTACCGGAATTACCATTAGAAATTAAGTCATTTTTACCCTTTTGGACAATAGTTACTCCACCAAAAGCCCGACTTAATTTTTGAATCAATTCCCCTTTATGGTCATCTTTATATTCATCTTTATATTCTATCCTCTAAACATAACATCGGTATATGAAATTTAGCTATCACTATAACTAATATGCATTTTATTTTATTTTATTTTTTTACCATTGCTTCACAAAGACGTCTAAACTCATTAACATTGGGTGTCAAAATTGCTTCAGAATAGTCTTTGATAATATCAGGATCATTTTGAATTAGAAACAATCCATCCTAAAAATACAAAATACCGTCAATAAAAGTCCCGAGTCCACCTGAAAAATAAATCGTGCACTTTGATCGCATACCGCATCAATAATCATTGGTATATGTTCTTCTTTTGCCTTTAATATGATACCCTTAGCACATTCCAACATCATCTTATCTCTTGATAAGCCAGGACCAATAACTAGCACGTGAGTGCGCTTAAAAAGGGATGTTACATTATCTATTATCTCTTCGGAAGTTAAATCAGGATTCTTTCTTCATATTCACATTTATATAATCAAGGTTAATTGTTGTTATGTTGTTAGATTAACCAAATCACCATTTGCGACTAAACCTTTTATGGTTCTACTCTAGATTGCCGAAACCCAAAATCCCGACAGGTTATAATCTCGACAGGGACAAATTCCGATATCCAAAATCCCAAATGGATAAATCTCTAAATTACATATCAAATTAGATTATGATCATTTGAGATTTTGAATATCGGGATTTTAAACTGTCGGGATTCCGTCTTAGTCAAGATTTTGGCTTTTCAGTATTCTGAGATTATGTATGTCGGGATTATGTACTGTCGGGATTTTGGATTTCGGGATTTCGAGGTAGAACCAAATTTTATACTAACTCGGATTTGCGCATGTAAGGATGTACCATTAAATCTATAGATAATAAAAAAAAAATACAAACTATTAGATTAAAAGTAAACAATGCCTATATTTGTAAGAGACTGGGATATAAAGCGTGCCGTGCCTGGCGAATAATTCTGAGATATTAAACAGATTTATATTTTAAGTGATCCGTTTAAAATTTCACTTTTAAATTATAATCAAAATCCTACCTTTATAGAAATCGCTGCTGTAGGTTGGCAGACAATATGAGCCATATCAGCTCCCTATTAGTCCAAGTTTTAAATATGAATTATATGAAGCTTAACAGATTAAAAAGAAAAAAAAACTGCCCGTTGCTATATTTTTTAAATAGAACACTTACAAGTTTCAAAGCTGAAAACGCACTAAAATATGGAGCTCCTGTATAGCTAAAATAAAAAAAAAAAACATCTTATTGCTATAGACCTAAAAATGTAAGAAGCGTGAAAGGTATATTCACTCATCAGAGCCACCAATAACGCAGACTCGACCTGAAAAAAGGTTATGAATGTCAATAACACTTTAAACAGAGTAAACAATAATATAATTCTTATATACCGGATTGTCCTTTGTGGAGATCATAGGTAAGTTGGGGAATAAGTCGGCGAATTACATCAAATGCAGGTTTCGTTAAAGTCATTTTACAGAGACACTAGAAAGTTTTTCGAGAACATGGGGGACTTAATTTGATTGGATGATCAGGCGATAATCACGATACTGCATATCCGATGATTATATCGATGATGTGTTTCTAGTGGCGTAGAAAATCTATTAATTGCTATCGCTATCGTTTGCCCAATATTGTACACTTATTTAAATTATCAGATTCCGGAACCAGATCGGAAATGATCTGCAGTCGGGCATAATTTCGTGTAGACTATTAATAACGATAATGACTTGCTAAAAATTTATTTTTTTTTAAAACCAATCACTATTTTCGGATCTACTGGACGATCTAAAGCAGTCTAATAAAACGTTCTTTAAGTCTTGAGATAATACACGAAATGTCTCAGTCACACCTTGTTCTCGGTGTGCCTCCTTCGTCGTGGGACGAGAGTTCTTTCAAAATTCATTGTGGAATTTCAGGTATTTGTTAGATTCATCTTGAAGATGCATATATGCTTATACAAGTCTGAAAGATTTTGCACCAATTTTATACTGTGTAGAGGGCGTTATTAGAAATATCGAGCCTGTCGGTCGTTATTTTCTCGCGCATGCTCGTCGAAAGCTTAATAATCATAGCTTTTCTGAAGACGAACATATTCAAGCAGAGGCTAATGCAAAACAATTGGAAGTTATTCATGACGAAGACTCTGAAGAAGAGACACCTGAATTATTATCACGAGATCCTAAGGATTGGAAGGTGAATGATAGAATTCAATAAATCAAAATTCTAGTTTTACCTTCATACAAGTAAAGCCAAATCAAGTTGATTATTGTTGACCAACAAATTTGATATTAGGAACAAGACCATTATGCGATTTTAGGTCTCTCAAAATACAGATGGAAAGCAACCGATGAACAGATCAAACAAGCACGTATGTCATTTTTGATCCTGTAATAATTATATGATCTGATCTACTTTAGTTGATTGAATTATCATAATAAATTGTAATGATAATGTGTTTAGATAGGAAGAAAGTACTCAAACATCACCCAGACAAAAAGGCATCGAGTGGAAACACCAATGATGATGGGTTTTTCAAATGCATTCAGAAAGGTATCTAAGTTATTTATTAAGTTATTTGATGTTGTGAATGTTAACATCTAATAAACTTCACATATTCTTATCTTTATTCAGCATATGAAATACTTTCTGATCCTGTAAAGCGTCGACAATTTGATTCAGTGGATGAAGCTATTGATGACACTCCACCAAGCGCAAAAGCTAAAGGAGATTTCTTTGAAATATATGGCCCAGTATTTGAACGAGAGGCTAGGTAAACTCGAATTATTTGTTTTTTTTATATGATGACATATTTTTCACTGCATTTATGATAATTTATAGATTTTCAAATAAAACACCGGTGCCAATGCTTGGAGATATAAATACTACCAAATCAGAAGTAGAAGCATTTTATGATTTCTGGTATTGATAATGATTTTAATATAAGATTTATTTCTTGTTTACTATGAAAGAGTGTCGTTAACACGCTTCAAAATGTAGGTATAACTTTGATTCTTGGAGGTCGTTTGAATATTTAGACAAAGAGGATACAGACAATACGGACAAGTGCATATCATTTTCATGTTTTCCGAATAAAACTTTATTAAAAGGAAGTCTAGTTGCTTAAATTCTCGACATAAATTGGACACAAAAATTTAAATGGTTGTCTTTTTCCTCTTTATCGTCATAATCATTTGCCCTTGATTTCTTCTTTATTCGTTGTTCAAAGCCGAGACGATAAACGATATATTGAACGCAAGAACAAGGCCGAAAGAGCAAGATATAAAAAAGAAGACACGATACGGTTGAGAAAAATTATCGGTAAATAGTTTCTTCAAAGGCTCAATCTCAATTGCAAAATATTATCTAATGGATAATTTTGGTTGAATCGAGAAGATCAGGCATTATCTTTAGATCTACGCATTCAGAAGTTTAAGCAGGAGGAAAAAGCGGCTAAAGAGGCAAAGAAAAAGGAAAAAGAAGACGCAATCAAAAACGCAAAAGAAGCTGCCCAAAGAGTATAGCAAAATTTATTAATTTAAGTTTTACACGTAATAAAATTATAAAATAGTTAACATAATGTTAATTTGACGAAGGCTGCAGAAGAAGAAAGACTAAAGAAGGAGCAAGCTGAAGCTGAAGCAAAACTGAAAGTATGTGAACTTGGTATTAATAAAATTATGGTTTGTATTTTTGTACTAATAATATACATTTACTATATGCTTAGCAACAAGAAGAAAAAAAGGAGAAGGCAAACAAGAAAAAAATGATGCGTAACGAGCGTAAGAGTATCAAGACACATGTGAAGGTATAACATTATAAACAGCAAAATTTAAGCATATCCATTATCTGATATATACGTATATATGTATATTTTTTTTTTTAAATCAGACACATAACTACTTTTATCCACCAAATGAACCACCACCTATAGATGTTATTGAGACGCAGTTGTCAGAGTTAGATTTCCTATTTGAAAAATTAAGTTTAGAGGATCATCAAAATGTCAGAAAGCAATTGGACTCTATTCAGGGCAGACATGATGCAAAACAGATTTTGGTAAAAGAGGCTTCAAGGCTTGTGAGTTCGGGTGTATTACCAGTAGACTCGATTAAGTATTTCAAGTCAGGTAACCTAATGCAATGAACCCAATTATGCAGTTGATCTTACGATCATATTTGTATGACTTGTCAGATAATCATATATTTTCAGACTCAATAGATGTAGATGTTACCGAAAATCAAGCCCAAAAGACTACAAATATTGAAGAGCATAAAGTTACAGAAGAGATGCCAAAAGAGCGACCATGGAATGTTGAAGAAATATCACTATTAATTAAGGCAGCCAATAAGTTCCCTGGAGGAAGCTTAAATAGGTAAGACTTATACATATGATACCTTAATCATAAAGTTCCGAACTGGATACGAGACTGTCACCCGGGTCACCCATATAACTTTAAATCGGGTGACCCGAATGAAAAACGACTTGAATAACCATAGCGGGCTTGAATTGCAATCGATTAGTTTGTTTTTATTTTTTTCGAAGATTTCTTTTTGTGACACTATCAAAGAAATTCGGATCGGTCCGAATCTGAGATCAAGGCAATTTTCTTGAAAAAAAATAACATGGAAGTATAAATAAGAACCAGGGAATAAATAGTCCTCCGCATATGCACCTTCCATATGCGTACTTCCTTTATAAGTGCATATCTTCAATAATATCTTGTATTTAGAGTGCTCATCACGCATTATTGTTAGATTTCAATTCAAAATGCACGCTTCTAAGTGCACTGGAAAGTGCATTCATAGAGAGTTCACTGCCCATATTCAATTCATCTTGACCCGGGTGACCCAGCTTAATATAATCCGGTTCTAAACTCTAATAAATTATAGGTGCTAACCAACTATAACATTTATAAGATGGGAAAGGATCAGTGAATATGTGGCTGATCACTCTGGATTACCACCTAGAACAAATGAAGAATTAATTAAAAAATCCAAAGAAGTCCAAAAAGGTTATTCTCTTATTCTATTTATAGATGAACTATTGACATCAAAAATATTAATTTATTGAATTTCTTAGGTACTGTTGCATTGGATGAAAATGATGTACGCAAGCTGCAACATCAAAAAAAGCATGCAGATACACGAATTACTGAACATCCATCTATGCGAGAAGCAACAATTGATTACGATGCGATTTCGGCATCTACAGCGAATGGATCTTCGACAACAAACAATACATGGTCACCAGCTCAACAAGCACAACTGGAACGGGCATTACAGGCATATCCACCATCGTGGAAAGGAGAAGGTGATAGATGGGATAAAATTGCAGAAGCAGTTGAAAACAAAACGAAAAAAGAGTGCAAACTCAGAGTCAAGGTTCGCGAACAAAAATAATTTTGTAACATGCACAGACTGATTCTTTAATTTTTACTCATTAAATTTCTTTTTTTTCAATATTTAGTATTTGGCTGAACAAGTTAAAGCAAAGAAAGCTGCACAATCAACCTGAATTATTAATTTCGTAACTGTTGCATTTAGTACTGACATTGGATGAATCATTATTCAATCCGACAAATGTTTATAATTTTTTTTAACAACGAATTTGTTGAAGCTCTTTCAATATGTAATATAGACTGGTGATGTATGTAATGCTAATAGTGCGTAAATGATATGATGTGTTAAAAATAATAGACATCATAGAATATATGACTATATAAAGTTAAGCATATCACGTATCTGTTTCTAATAGCCTGTTTGCAATTTTTTATATTTGTTGTTTCTTTTTAAAACTTTAATGAATAAAAACAAAAAACAATTGTCGGTTTTAAATATAAATTACCATTTAACTGGTAGGTTTTGCCTATTCGTGAGTGCCAATTTGTGTAATTGTTCCTTCTTTTGTAAAGCTAAACTTTGACCATTAATAACAGCCAAGAATTCATTAGCCAATCTAATACTAAATTTCTTGCCAGGTTTCTTATCTGAAGCTTCTAATATCCATTTAATAGCTTTATGATTTCTTTGTCGTTCATTAAGTGGTTTTGGAATTTGTATTACCTTTGAACCTTTTTTACGACTAATAAGACCGGCTAGGGGAGCGGTTTTATCAATTGCGACTTTAATAATCTCAAGAGGATCATTATTAGTTTGTTTACGAAGTTCTAGGCACGCATCCGCTATATAACGACGAGCGCGTGCTTTTTTTCCATCTCGCATAACCATATTTATTACATGCGTTAGAATAGGATCCTCACGAATATAGTCATTAGAGGAGGAATCTACTTTATGTGAAGAAAGATCGACAGAAGATGAAAACCGAAAATCCTGGCGAAAAGGCGAAACCCTAGTAAAAGACGAAACCATCGGCGAAAAAGTAAAACTCTTGGCTAAAAACAAAACCTCTGAAGTTCTAATGAAAGATGAAGCTCTAGGGAAGATAAAAGGTTTAACTATGCGGATAGACGAACCCATTTTTCTGTCCAGATGAAAAAAAATGAACTGTGATCGACCTCTTACAGAAAAATCGGTTTAAAAAACGATCCCTAATGGGCCTGAGATATCCGATTGGACCTTAGAACACAGGCTCCAAGAATTTGACTAATATGTTTCTGGTGCCGCTATGATCTCAATCGATTCTTAAGCAGCACTTTTTGCAATCATAAATTTTTGTCCACCAGGTTTCCCTAGAAGTTCTCGCATTTTCACAGTGTGAGCACGTGATTGTGTGTAATCTCTTGATTATCAATCTATTCGATCATCGAATGCTTTCTAATAAAATGTTATTCACAAAACTTGGTAAAACAAAATTACATTGTGGTAATATTATATTTTTTAAATGCCAAATAATCAACCGTTCATATACCGCCAGAAAACCAATTAAACCCTCAAAATTACATGCACCAATTTACTCTGAAACAATTCTTGATGATGGAAGCAAGTTCATATCGCGAGTTCCTCTTGATAAACCAACGATTACAGTGGATAAATTACCACCTCCACTTAAATTACCAATAGAGAATAATTATCGCAAACTTACTGAAGATGAGATAAACGAGATGAGAGAATTAAGACTGTCAGATCCTGAAAAATGGACATGTAACGAATTGGCCAAAAAGTTTCAATGTAGTCCTTTATTTGTTGGACAAGCTGCTCCTTTATCAAAAGAAAGAAGAGAAATTCATGAAGCTAGAAAAGTAGTTCAATTTAGTAAGATGGGGTGGAAAAAGAGGTTTGTCAGGAGTGAAAGGGCTAAAAGAAGAGCAAATTGGTGATATTAGTTTTAGAAATTTTCAACGAACTTTTTTTATCAGTGATTTTTTTTGTTTGATTCACTCATGGGTAGCTATTTTGTGTATAGATTTTTGATAAAAATACGTTGTATCCTTACGTATCAGCAAAACATCATAAATGTTAAAAATTTTATGATCTATAATTATATTAACATATTAAGTACATTGTATACGGAATTCAATTAAAATTTTTTTCGTGTTCTGTAAGGTAGAAGATTCATAATTAATAATTATATAGTAAGTATTAATAAATGTCATAAAATATAGCATTTAATAATATCAATTGATTATATTGATTACTTTAAATTCTTTTGTACCTGGCGCGAGAAACATTTTTGGCAATCTTTTGAATAACCGAATGAAATGCTTTAAGATTTATAATTATGGTTATGTAATCCACAGGGTTAGTTTTTTTTTATTTATTCCAGAAATCATAATTGATCATTTAAACACGGCTTAAAAATAAGGTAAGAGAAACTGTTACTGACAATGCCCAAAAATAAAATGGATTGAATTATTTAAAAGTTATATATTATTTAAGATAAATTTAATAGTAATGCATACTTTGATATACTAATATTGTTTCTTTCGTATTATTACCTGGATACAAAACACTTATCATAAATCATAAAGACTTAAACATTTAATTTTTGTTAACGATTATCCATTATCCATACTTCTGGATTAAAAAAATCGCCAACTCGCTAGGACATAAGAACAATCAGAATTTTTTAATAAAATATTTGTAATATTCAGGAGTTCTTTACCTTTGAAAGCCAGTAGTGGATATGATAACGATAATGACAACATCAATAAAATTTTTAGTCTCTCAATTAGATCCCAATCGTTTTAGTAAAGTCAGTAGCCTAAGGGGTGTTAGATTGATTGAACGCTTGATGTGGACGTTATCACGTGATGACGGTTTAAATTTCTGGTATTGTAATATAACTTAAATATCGAACATTGGACGTTATCGTGTGATAACGGTTTTGATCAAATGGTGATGTGAATTATCGTACAGCACTGCATACAGTACCCTCGGTCTTTACAAGAAATCCAAGATAATTAAATAATACCCCGGTACTGTGTGAAGAGAAGGATACTATCTGAGTGAGCGGTGCTGCTCACTTCACCGACAATCATTTCACCGAAAGTTCATTTAGCCGACATCACATAGGGTTAGGATTAGCATTTTATTAGTTGCAAGTATATATTTTTAGTAAATTGTCACGTGGCGTGATGTCGGCTAAGTGAGTTGTCGGGTGAAATGATTGTCGGTGAAGTAAGGCGGATCCCTGAGTGAGTGAGGGGAAAGATGCAAGTAACACAAAATATTGTACGAGTACAATATTTTTACTTGCACTTTTTTCCCCTCGCTCACTCACTATACAAGAGAAGAGTGTATTAATCGCATAAATTGATCGTATAACAGGATCTTGACGAGATACTTTTCAAGAATGTTACCTGATACTATTAAAGGGATTATTTGTGCTATATGCGGCGCTGTACGGTAGGCCGTCCCTAGTATTGCCCATAAAAAATGTCCTGAGAGCCAGCTATTAAAATGTAACTTACGTGTAGATAATCATGTGATAAGATATATTTATGGTTAACTCAATACAATATCCGAACATTTCTTTGTTTTGAAAGATAGTAGCTACTCCAAAAAAAAATTTTAATTATAATGTTGGCTGTATACAAACATTAAAATTTTTATATTTAGATAACTATCTAATTATTAAAAATATCGTTATATGGCAAAGTAATTCGCAATGTCTTAATTTTGAAGTTTCTAATGAAGTATATCATGAATAAAAACAATTTTAACATTAAAGCTTTAAAGACATAGACGATTACATTTTTTATTTCAATGCTGCTAATAATTAATAAAAAATTATCATTTATAAGTGCAAATTTTCACTATTATCTTTATTGATTCTGTGCTTCAATATGGCATAACTATATTTATTCTCTTGAGAATAAATTACTAACAAAAGCTTTATAAAAATCTTGGTTGTGTCAGGAGCACTTATTTTCGTTAATGGTTTAGATTATTTCGATTATTTTTTACTAGTAGAAAGAATTCTGAAAGTGCATTATCATAATAAATACCTTCGCTTAATGAAATAATTTTAATTTTTTTTTTTTTTTTGAAGAAAAACTAAAGCATTTTTGACTTGCGGTTGCGTTAAGGTAGCGTGATCTAATTGTCCGAAGCGTAGCGAGGAAACAATCAACGTTTAAATCAATATAACAGATCGACACGAATCATCCCGACAAGATGGAAAATTTCATGCGTCCAATCACAACTTTGGGTAGAAATTATCGGTAAAGAATTCACTTAATATGTGGACTCAAATTTAACTTATCATTATAGATCAATTAAAATAATTTTATATTAATGATCTGACCAGTCTAAAAAACTCTCCACTGGAGTTAACCGATAGGTCACCCAGGTGGAAATCAGTCAGTTGAAAAAATGAAAGTTACCTAAGTACATTACTTGCGTACAATGTATGTTTATAAAAAAAAAAATTCATCAAATAAATGAATTTATTAAGTAAAACAGCTGAGACAGTTAATGAGAAATTGCCAAAACTGCTATTACTGCTAATGCGGAATTGACATAGAGTAAGATTACTAAGCAGGTATTTTTTACATTTTGTTGGTGATGATTATATTAAATAATCTTAGCCAAAATTGTTTGATTCATATTAATTAAATCCGTGAATTAAAGATCATTATTGCCTAAGTATTTAAAATAATTTCATGCACATAAGTATTAAAATTTAATAATTTTATTTTACTGTATAAGTGAGTAGAAAGATTTATGAACCTAAGTATTAAAAAGTTTATGAAATTTACGATTTAATTTAGTATATATATATAAGTATTTAAAAAACTATTTAAGTTTATGAATGTTTACTATTCAAATTATATCTAAAATTTATATACAATTACTCAACTTAACGTTCCGACTAATGTTATTAGTCGAAATATTTTGTTCAAATATTTAGACAATTTTGTGTCGAAATATATTTCGAGATGACATTATTTTTTGTCGAAATGTCAAAATTCCAAATTCGACGAAATGACTAAATACAGTAGCTGACTAAATAAATACTACGTATATGACTAAATTTCTAATTAGTGGTAAAATAAAATCTTTAGATTTATCATCTCTAATTTCCAATGTTACAACATAAATTAGATAACTATTCAACATAGAATATATAAACGATATATAGATATTTTTGAATACAGAATACCTAAATATTTAATTCTTATCGTTATATGTTCAATATTTATATAATTAAACCCAGTGTTGTTCCGAACATGGACATGAATATGGACCGTCCATGGACATAGAGAGACAATAGAGTGTCCAATGTCCATGTCCATGGACATGGACTGCCTATGTCCACATATCCATGGACGTGTGTCCATGGACAGGTGTCCAGAACAACACTGATTAAACCTGCTTGATAAGGGCAAGAGCCGCTTTTGGATCAAATCTATATTAAGATATATAGAGTGAAATCCACAAAATAAACAAGTTCGGATAAATAAGTTTATATTTTTTAATTAGACATTTCGACATTATTTAGAATTTCGGCAGACTAAATATCAAATATCAAAATATTTCTACAAACTCAAATCAATTTCGGCTAACAACATTAGTTCCGACCCGTCACAAAAATCCCAACCCGAGTCACCCGCGGGTGGGTCACCCGGGTGGTAAGAGAAATTCCGCAACGGGTCACCCATGAGTGGATTACCCGGGCCATCCGGGTGGTAAAAGAAATTCTGCAACGGGATTTATACAAGTAATCATTAAGCCGTTCAAAATTGATTATTAGGTTAACGTCATCATGTTAACTGTCCCCTAAACTTCATTGATCATGTGATTAAGGTTGACCAATAAGATTTGATCAAATATTTTTGGGAATATATGTTTGTTTAAATCCCCCCTCCTCCCTCGTGCCTGAGCCAAGAATATTGACGTCAAACTAAGCTTATTTAATATTGGATTAACGCGCTAAATTAATGTGAATGATCAAAGTAGAATGAAATTAAGTAGTAAATATTCATGAACTTTGATATCTTATTTTAATCTTGTATTATCGTTATAATCATACATTAAATTAAAATAAACTAATAGTAGATATTCATAGACATAAATGACTTATTTTGAAGACTTATATTTATAATGTTCTTTATGCTCATGCACTAATGCAAATAAAATGAACAAAATGTTATGTAAATATTCGTGAGCGTGATATCTTGATTAAATGCTAAGATTAATAGGACATACAGTATACGTGTTCTTTATACTCATGTACTAGATATAAATACGTAGTAAATCTTCATGAACTAAGGTGGTTTAATTAGAGCTGTTACCTGCTTGAATATCCCGGCCCAAACTATGATTAGGACCCCGAATAATACATATAGAGGTTATATTGATATTTTGGATAAAAAAGTTACTTTTTTCTAAAATGTTATATTTTGAAAAGCCAAAAGGTTATATTTTAAAAGTGGATAAAAGTTTTTAATGTTATGTTATTTAAAATGGATAAAATTAATAAATTTTAGATAGGTTATATTTGAAATATTTGAAATTTGGATAACAAAATAAAAAAAAAGAAAAAGAGTAAAAAATTTTTTTGAAAAAAGAAAAAAATATTTGTTATATTTATTAAACGGGTAAAGTTACTTAAATATTAAAGCTTATATATTAAATAAGGTTAATTAGCTCTAATAAAAAGTGAATTAAAGCCAATATAACCTATATATATATTATTCGGGGTCGGACATGCTTTCCTAATTATTTAGGCCACAATAAAGTCAATTTGGCAATTCTGCAGCGGGTTGACCACCCGGATGCTCATAAATCAACTCGGGTCACCTGATCACCCACAGACAGGGTTGGCAATGGAGGCAATGGAGTTAAATGGTTACGTGAATGGTGCTCAAAAAACTAGTATCCATTAGCTCCATTCATTCGCAGCTCCATTGGGTTCCATTGCCAACCCTGCCCACAGGTGACCCGGGTGATACCTACCCGGGTTAGAACACTAAACTCAACAATTATCTTGATATTCCTAAATCACTTAACTTCCAGCTCTTTATAGTGAAACCTTTGTTTCATGAAACAATGATAACGGACCAGAATTAAGATTATTTCATGTAATCAAAATTACACTCCAGGGAAGAAAATACGCAAGATAATTACTAATCATATACCAAATTATGATAATAAGCTTCGCTTTGCGCTTGATCTTTTATGAGTATTCTGATGATATTAAAGACTATAAAACATTTGGAACCTTTGCTATGAAAATCACCCTTCGAGATTTCACGTCCGAAATTCTTATATATTTAATCACGTGTCTCGATTATTATTGGTCAAACTTTCATATCACCAAAAAAAATTCTATTTAATCCGAAATTTGAGAAACCACTTAATTTTTAGCCTTTAATATTTACAAACGATTAAAAAAAGTAAACCGTAAATCCGAAAGAGAAGCTTTAGTTTACTATTTTTACGGTTTATATTTTTAATTTCGCTTATGTTATTTGATTTTTTTTTGATGACTATAAGTGACGCGAACCATAATTTGGAAAAACTCAGGCCAGAATACCGGTTCTTACTCATATGTAAATCATCCTTTACTTTCTTGATTCGATAGTTTATTAAATAAACTATCGAATCAATAAAGTAAATGGTGATTTACATATAAAATTTCGAAGGCTGATCATAGCGATCCTTTGTTAACATTTCTAAATCTTAATGTTCATATGATTGTTATGCACAAACATCAACGAAGTGTTGTACGTAGAATATGCAAGTATGTACAGTACTTACGTGCCATTACATACTGTGTTAAGCGAATTAGCATATATTCATGAAACTTATATATATACAGTATCGTACCATATATATATATATATTTAAGTACTATTTGGCAAAGCGTGAAAAATCAATTATGTTGTACATTTTAAGTATAATAGACAATAAAAAAAAAAAAAAATACGTACGTACAAACATTAAAAAAGACTGCAGGATTTTATTATTATACGTAACCACTTTTATTTGCCTTAGTTTTAACGAACGTTAATTTTATTTTAGATTGATTAAGCAAAAAAGGTTTATTTTTATTATTTCCCCTTTTTTTCGATATCCAAATTTATCTATATATCTCAAATTAAAAATCTATATTTATATCTGGCTTTTTTATAGCTTATTGTGCTGCATATCAAATCTAGGCAATACGTAAATTATTCATATCTGGTATTATAAAGTTCTTGACTCCTAATTATAAAATTTGTTAAATCATCGCCAAGTGGTGAAGTTACTTGCAATCAACTTTCTTAATTGTATCTAATTATATCTTAGCGTTAGTTCCAGCAAAGAAACAAAGTTTTTCATATACTGTATGAAATTTCATTAAATTTAAATAACATTAATATTAATAAATAACGATAACATTTAATCATTATTCTTTAATACATCCTGATATGTATTTCTTAAAAAATTAATATGCGATATTCATGTTCGCTTTTTTTATCACTTACCACGTTACAATACGTCATGCCCGGATTCTAGTCCTAACGTTAACACTAACGCCAATTTTGTAAAAAAATTATTAATAACATATTATACATTGCAATCAACTCAAATCTAATTATAGTTTTGAAGCCGAGCGAAGAAGTTGCCCGCACATGCAATTATCTCTAGTTAGTTACTCTCACTCTTTATATATAAATATCTCGTCTTTACCCACTTCTTACAAATTAAAAAAAAAAACTCTTTTCTTATATTAATAATATTCACGTTAACGAATAATTAAGACCAAGGAAAAAATAATAATTTACCTGATCATAAATAATCATAAACCATGTCACGATTAATTTTTCTTACGCTTCTTTTAGCTTTTATTGGGTTTACTTCAGCCCGTAAGTTATATATTATTTTAAAGTGAATTAATTAAATCAAATTTTAAATGTATTAACAATTTCAGAGGTTGGACAAGTCAACACACCTAGTGATAAAATTGCAACTGGTGCCAATGTTATAATCACTTGGATGTACACCCAACAAGTAAATCAGATTCCAGGCACTTTAAGTTGTGTCGATAACTCAACAAAAAATACAGTTCTACTTAGTAGTACAGTAGATCTCTCCGCTCAATCTTATACATGGTCGGTCAATGTTCCCGCGGGTACTTATTACCTTGCTCTTAACGATGGTAGTGGTGATAAGTACTCTGGAACTTTTAGTGTCTTTAATGCCGGACTGCCTGCTTCTCCTGCCTCCGCTGTAGCTCCTGCTGTTCCAACTGGTCCTCCATCTACAGCTTCACCAGCTCCAGCTCCAGGTCAAACCAATCCCCCTGCTCCTGCTTCTAAGTCATCTACCACTGAGTAAGTGTTTTATAACTCCTGGCACAAGTTTCAAAATATATAAATAACTTATTTTTTTACATATTCAATTTTTTTAGTACCAGAACAAGTGAATCATCAAAACAAACCACAACACCAACCAGCTTGTCCAGTTCTGCTACAAGCTTCACTAAATCATCCACTTTTGGATACAAATATTTGCTTAGCCTTATTATGGTGGCAACAGTAATAATGCATTTTGTCTAAACTAGAAATTTTGAATTTTGAATTATATATATTATTAAGAATATTGGGAAATATCGATACAGTATCGGTATAGCTGCAATACAAAAATACTGTATACACTTTGTACTATATCATATAATATAATCATTAGAATTTTTAATTCTTGAAAAATAAAATAAAACAAAAACTTTTTTCAATTCTAAATTAATTGATTAATTGAAATTGTAAATTTGTAATTTTTTTTATATATATTTTTGTAAGAATTATTATAAAACGTACCTATGGTGTTTTAGCACCTATGTATAATTTCTTTTAATAAAATTTAGGGTTGGGGTTAGGAAATTAAGCATTATTTTTTTATATATAATATATTATAGAGCTACTATAAGGGCCTGATAGAGCCTGATCTTAGTTCTTGTGAGGTTTGGGGTCCTGAACATTTTTACTTAGAGAACCCGATCCCGTTTACTTAGTACATTTTTGAGAAACGGGGCCTATGGTGTAAAAACACCATAGGTGCGTTTTAGTAAAATCCTTTTTGTAATATCAATTTAGATCAGACCTATTTGGTTTTTTATTAATAATATAAAAATAATATATATAAAAACAAACATTATAAAAACAGGTATAAGATAATTAAATAGTTAATAAGATCAGTATTATATTTATATAATATTTTTCAAATATAATATGCTGATAGTTAATAATATATTTAATTATTAAATATTGTCTAAAAAAACAAAAATATAAATATATAATATAATCATACTATATCTGCTTTATATTTTTAAGCCAATAGTTTGGAGATATATAGAATTTAAAAACATAAACTAAAAAAATAATAATAATAATATATATAAATAAATATTATAAAGTTGAGTATAAGATTATTTGCTATTTAATAATATTAGTAAAATATCTTTCTAATATTATAGGCTAATGCTAGGCTAATAGTATAATAATATATTAAATTTTAAAATTTTGTTTAAACTCTTCTCAATGATCACTTGGACCAATTTTTTTGCCAAAGAAAACCAGTTTTGTTGAAACATTGCCTGCACCCAAGATGCAGTAAGATAATATAGAGTATAGTTTTTGTAGAGATTAACTTATTACTTCTTTTGAAGACTCATCTATATATTCAACATGCAAGCTGAAAACATCGTTATACAAGATAACTGACAAGAGGTGGTGCTCTTGTGTATAAAATTTTGGTAGAGTAACAAAGTTTTCTGTTAACAAAGTTATCTATAGCAAAATAGTGAAAAATAACAAAACAAGTTTTTTTAATATCTTCTTTTGGAAATTTTGAAGAATCCACAACTGAAAACCCTCTTTCTATATTCTTGCTTGGTTTGAATTTTTTTAGAAAATTTTTGTTAAACAAAAAGTGGAAAAACTAGTATACTCCTTTAGAAGATTTGCATTGTTTACTAATTATAAATTAGAAACAAAAATCATGAGGAATTACGGATTTAGTGGCCTGGGAACTCTAATTATAGCAGCAGGTAGCTTGAGATACAGGTTTTTGGACAGCAATAACATTTAGCCTAAGATATAAATTAGGATAGGCAATAAAGAAATCAAACTGTATCATGTAAAACAAGAACTAACATTAACCATTTGAAGAACTTTTTATAATAATTCTTATAAAGCTAACTTTACCCCCGAAGATATCTACATAAAATCCAGAGTAGAGCTAAATTTAAGAGTATTATATAATTTTCAGCCATGATATAGCTATATCATTTTGTGAGAATTTTGTTTTTTCTTTTTCGAAATATATGTTTCTTTTTTATTCTTTTTGGTGTTTATTTGGGTTTTTGTTGGTTATTTTCACTCTGTTTACTTTTTAAATTTCTCTCTTTTTATCTCATACCTCCTAAGAAGAAGAAAGAATTAAAAGGAAAAAAAAGAATCCTAACATGGTATACAACAACCTGTAACAACTCTTGGGAGTAATTTTGTCATTGCAATATTTGAAAAAAGTTTTGAATCTTAAGAGTAACTAACAGTTGTTATAGCTAGTCACATTGGGCTTAGGCTTGGTAAGTTTTTATTAAATATAAACGTTAAACTATTTTGATATATCACAGTATCATATAGCAGTTTAATTAAATAAATAAAGGCAGGATCACTTAAAAAAATATATATATATAGTTATACAATATTAGCTTTATACCAGAACCCTGATATTTTTGATATAGATTATATTTAAAAATTTTAGTAAAACTTCTACAAATTTAAAAGGCAAAAATATATATTTTTGTAAATATCTTAGCAACTAGTAATTCAATTTGAATGAACTTTTTTTAAATAAAAGCTTTTAGTAATGCGTATTTTTTTAAAAAATATTTATTCAATTCTGTTTACTAGAGCTCAAGATAGTTAAGAAAAAGTAAATTTTTAGTTTTTGGCAAATTAGACCAAAACCTAGTTATAATCTATATGAAAAATATCCAGATCTTTTTATATTTTTAGGCCAATATTTTGAAGATATATATAATTTAAAAATTTAAACTAAAAAATAAGATAATAATATATAAAAACATATATTATAAATTTTATATATAATTATTTATTGTTTAATAATATTAATAAAATATCTTTCTAATATCATAAATTAACATGAACTCTTTTCAATAATCACTTGGTTCAAATTTTTCTGAAAATTACTCAACAAAAACAGTAAAAACCAACTTCTCAGCTTATAAGTCAGAGAAAGAAGGGACTGTAAGACAGCAACTGTCATTTAGAGATAGTTCTCATATGCTACCTGCCGACAGTTTTAGAGTTTATCACTTACTGC